AATACTGAAATTATTAGATGGTAAGAGAGCAGGTTTTCCTGTGCGGAACACTTTGGCATAGAATGGTAGTATTTATTGTCAAAGCTGCGATGGAAACAGACTCATTTGAAGCGGTGTAAGGAAAGCCCTTCATAGTATGTTACATCAACACAACATTTCACACTTTGTAAATATTTTTCTTTTAATTTTCCGAGTCAGTTTTTCAGTTTTACAGTTTAGACACAGGATAAGAGAAACAATTACACATAGCAACTAATAACAAAAGTAAAGAAATCCGAAGGTCTGGATTAAGTTCAATCACGTTCTATCCAAGTTTAACCAAAAAAACTCTGAAATCGGAGTTTTTTGTTTGTTGGTATTTTTGTCCCTCATTTCTGGCAAGACGAATAAAATGTCTTCTTATTTGACCTCTAAGATCAAGTTTTGCTATCTTTCCTATCTTACATTCACACAAAACAACAAACCTGTGAAGTCGCATTAACATATTTGCGTAAGTAAAGCAGCCTGTTATGTAGGCTATACGAGTTTTTACGACACTTACCTCACCAACCGGCACCATTTAGTTTACCTATGAATGTTCTGATATTTGAGGCGAAGGATTTTACGTACAATGGAATTGCCGGCACTATCTTCTGAAGTACCTGTTCATGTTCATTCACCGATTGATGGTGCTACTCAGGTACAATAAAAACGCGATGGCAAGATACCCATGTCGTGCGAAGGTATTTTCCTTGCTTTTGACATTGATGAAATCCATAATGTAAACTGGAAGCCAACAAGATGCAAAGCCGAGCAGAACCATTGCTAAAGTCTATGTCACTTTTGCTTCTTCCACTTTCGCCCGGAACGCTGAGGGTTATTTTTGTGCGAGAAAACACGATTTGATCTCGAAACAGTGTGAAATACTTTGACGCAGCAGACCGTAATAATGGCGAAAGGAGTGGCGATATCAAAAACGTTGCTAAAGATTATGAAAGCTGTGTCATCTTCGAATGTGATCAAGCACGTTGCCTCGCGTGAAGGAAACTGAAATCTGCCGCTCTCAAATGTAAAGAATAGAGGCGCAGATCCAACGAAAGCCAAACACCAACACATAACAATGTTAATCAAATTTGTTCTCTTCGTAAACAACACACGATACCTTCCAGGTTTCATGACGCAAAAATATCGACCTACTGAAATCAAAGTTAGTAATGTGCCCACTCCAAAACTCTTTCTCCCTTATGACCCCTAAGAGTGACTGGCATCTAATTTCTTCTTACAGTATCAGCCCTGAATCACATATTAAGGTCAGAAGAATAAAGGAAATGATCACCACTGACAGAGCTCATGATTGTTAAACAAATTCTCCTTGTCAGTAGCTTAGGAAATGAATGGAGAACAGTGTGGAGAATATGCATACTGATGTTAGTGTGTCAAGGGTTAAAGAAAATGTAAACGACATATTCATTCATCCCTCAGCATCTCAGTAAAAAAACTCATCACTGTTTAATCCTGATCTAACAAGCCATTTCTATTTCTAAACAATGTTGACAATTCGTCATAATTACAGCGATAACTAATACATATATTCACGATGACTTGCGACTGAGTTTTCACTTCTCGATGAAAGATAAACTGTTTCCCAGCATGAAATCTGGGTTGGTACGAATGGTTATGTTGGCAGACTAAGACCAGTTCGATTATATTGCTGTGAGAACTAAACACTGTTGAAATTTCTGTCCTTATGCTTGTCTTTTGTACGCTTGAAATTCACTAATGCCATTAGCACTTAACGAAATGATTTACAATGGAAGCCAAGCAATTAGACACTCATTAAAAGGTTTCAAAAGAAATGATTTAAAGCATGTCTTAACAGCGCTATCCCGCGGATTTTGACGAAAAATTGTTTTGTAGGTTCAATTAAACAATTAAAAGGCAATACAAGGCTTGTTTCTTCGATTCCTTAAATCTAACAAATACATTTTGCTTACCCCAAATTGACAACTCTTATGCTATAGAATTCAGATTTTCGTTGAGTTGGAGATTGGAATGGTAGTTTTTGAGTTGGGAAACTTTGTATACAATACCTCTGATGATGAAATAACTATATTTTTAACATTCTTAAGATAGATGTTAGTGTTGAGTTACTCTCTCCGTCCAGCAATGATGATTGGAGTCCATGTTGCATAAAAAAGAAGCCATTGAGTTATGCAACTGTCACAATTTGAGATCGATTCCTCAAAACGCAATAGACGGGGTAAACAACTCTAACTCTCTTAACGACCTGTTGAGCTTATTTCATGATGAATTTGGAATAAATGTATCATGGGTAACTTATCGCAAGTTGTACAAATGTGTGAACTAACCTGTGTAGGAAACACTACTTAACTTTTCCCTCTCAACCTCACTGACGAGCAGCTACATAATTTACCGGAATGTCACACAATTTTATGTCATGTATTCGGGGGAACGTAAAAAAAAGACTGGGGTAAAGTGGACTTTTTTCTGACGCTGCATCATAAATTAACAGGAATGTCACGAAATATATTCCGTCACGCATTCAGGGAAACGCAAACAGAACTGAGGAGAAGTTTTGCGGAGACAAGAAAAAATTTTTTTAAAAATAATTAAAGAATTAACTGCTTTAGTTGTCAAATTTTTAGATGTTTGAAGGGAAGATGATGGCATTCAGTTGTGTTTTCTCAATCATCGAGGACTGAGAGAGACTTTTTCCCCTGAACAGACCTGAAATATTAGTCAACAATGTTCAAGAAGCGGGGAATCATTTGTAACATGTTATGCGATAATTTTTTAGTTTGATTCAGCCATTTTCGTATCTGAAGTATTTCGCAAGCAGGCAAGACTGCCATCGAATTCGGTGTAGTTTGAATAATAGCTTGAGCTTCTAAACCACTGACACTCCGAACCTCGTCAAGATATTGACCAATGCGAATTCACCCTTAAATAGAAAATAGAAAATTCATAAAATCTGTAAAATTTGAGCGAAGTTCTGTCCGTGTAAAAGTCGGACCAAAAAGTTGTAGTGTCGAGGTACCCAATGCAGCAAGGATGGCAGCACTGTGGAGAAAGTCATCAAAAAGTGAATTTACATTTTTGGTTAGAATTTCGCAAATGGCTGAATTTGTTTCCAGCTTCTTACGGCGCTACACCTCAATTTCAACATAACATAAGTGACATAAGTTGGTGTTGTAGAGTTGTACGTATATAATTAATTAATTTACCATCGGAGTTTCCGTTGTCGGGGCTGTCCTGGTGTAGCGGTACACGGGGGAATTCCTATTGTTTTCATATCCATACATGGAGTTGTGACGCAGTTCGTTAATGTTTCGTTCCTTTGTGTACCGGTACACGAGGACATAACCCCGTTGTCAGTCCACGCAAATTCTGTGAGTTTCACGTTGTTGCTTGCAAGGTTTCAAAACGTACGCGCTGAGCTTTAGGGCTGTCCACGAGTTGCTCCAATTTTCTCAAAAAGTTGCTCCAATTTCCTCAAAAAGTTGCTCAAAAGCTGCTCCAAAACTCTAAAAGTTACTCAGAAGTTGCCCCAAAATCCAAAAGCTGCCTTCAATTTTTTAGTTTAAGAGATTGATTAACAACTTAAATAGAGATTTAATGAATAGATTTCACCTTGCATAGATATTATATACATAATTATATCATACTGACTCATCAATATTGTAAGACTGAGTCCCTGTCAACCCAAATCATAAAAATCTGATTCCCTTTATTGGCTTTCTATTACGATAACCACGTGATTGTATTCGAACAAAACAAACTTTGCTAATATGCTTATTAAATATATAAAGTTTCTCTACTTCTAAAGGATCTGAATATTCATTATCTTCACTCGAGCTCGAGCATGGACAATCACTCGGCTCCGTCATTTTGAATTTTTCAGCGTATCCGCTGACCACCTTCGGCTGCTACCACAGGCAGACCACCAGGGGAATAGTGTTTTTTGTTTACAAAAGGTATTTTACGCAAAATCATGCATATAAGAAACTGATGCTTTAAATTAGAACTTGAATGGGCGGTTTTTAGTTACAAATTGCCTTAAAAAAGCAAGAAAGTTATTCAAAAAAGAAAAAAGTTGCACTAAATCTGAAAAGTTGCTCGAAGGACTAAAAGTTGCTCCAAATCTGAAAAGTTGCTCAAACGTTGCCGAGCAACTTATAGACAGCCTTACTGAGCTTTTGTTTTGCTCATTAGCTACTTCGTTTTGCTTCGTTCTCGTTGCCGTCGCCGTCATGGTCTGCTTAAAGAACCAGAACCATATATTCGAGAAACAAGAAACTTTCGATTTTGTTCGCACATTGAATATAGACCATATTACAATTGGCTTACGTGTGAGATGTGCATTCATTGAAATATGAAGCACACGGGAAATTTGGAAAACGTGACAACGTGTGCGTGTCCGGAAATTCTCTCTGCCACGCTCCAATGTATACGCATACGTCATTAGCGTTTCACCTGGCTAGATGGTAGTGAAATACGTCCGTGTGATTACAATTTCTCTTAGTTTGTAATTCAAATATTTGTATAGTTTCAAGAAATTTTGATAAATTCGACTAATTCACTCTTTCTTGTAAGTAAAAAGTTTTTTTTAGGGGTGGGTAATCAGTAGCTATGAACCGCATCTTAGAAAGAAAAGTCTCTATATATCCAGGTTATGAAAATCGGTCCTTCAAAACTATTCCTTTTATTTAAAATTACCTTAGTTAATTGTAAAAATTTACATGGAGCATTTCTGTAATATAGCTACTTCTTACTTTCAAATGGGTTTACTTCCATTCAAGGGCATACGAAATTTGTTGATAAAGTAATCATTATTTACGATCCCCTGCCAAAATAAAGAGGATCTTCTTTTTGGCCTCTAGTAGGAGCCCACAATGGGCTCCTGCCTCTATTCATTCATTTTGGTTTGTTTTAGTGTAGTTAGCACCTGCTTGATTTGCATTACAACAGAGCAGACTGGTTTTGTTGACAAAATTAATTGAATGCCAAAATTCAATGGTGAGATATTCAAGTATTAGAAACAGTTTTTGTCGATGTTTGTATGAAATAGAGGAAAGAAACTTTTATACAGTCGTAGTTAAGAGCAAAAACATATGATAATTAATAAACCTGAAATATTTGCTATAATTTAATTACAAATTTTACGTTGTGATGGATCTATATCAATTTAAAGATTATGCCCTCTCAGTGGGACGTCAGGGTTTTAATATTATTCATTATGTACACATTTTACGACCAGTTCATTCCATGTTCCTTCGAACGAAATTATGCGCAGATCCGCGTAAAGACAAAAATTGTTTGTTTTGCCGAGTGTGTAATCATTTTCAAGTTTTTTTTCCTGGAATAGGACAACTTCGCAATGCTAATCTGTTTAAAAAGAAGTACCACGTACTTTACTAGTCTTCGTGATCGGCGTTAAAAGAACCATTTGTTTTATGAATTTTCAGTTATATCAACCGATGGCCATCGCATATTGAATTCTTTAAGCGTAAGTACACCTGTCCCACTGCTTCTTTCTGATCACAATATTCAGTTGTTACAACTAGTTGGATTTTAACCCGACAAAACCGTGTTGCTGTCATTAATTTTCGGGGCAGTTTAAGCCTGAGACAAGAGTTCTTTTGTCAAATTTTTCTCTTTGTTTTTGGTTGGAAAAGCCCGCGCTTGAAATTTTTCTATCAATTAGTTCACGGTTAATCGTGGTGCCGTAGTTATACGAGCATTGAGCAATCTAACGAATTTCTAAACATCTAGAGTCAAGAGCTTGAACAAAATTGAATTTCATCTTCACAGTTTCAGTCATCAAATATTCTTTACTCTTAAACAATAACTATGTTAATTTTCTCTCAGAAAGTAGCTGTCTGCACTTCCTTAGAAAAATTTCTCTTTAAATTCTTAACATCTGAAGAGGTCTAAAGCGTTAAATATCTAGTTTCTGACTTTCAAACGCAGGTGATGATACAAACAGGGATATTGATTTTGCTTATAGGAGTCTCCAATGTAACAGCAGGTGTGTATAAACGAAAATGCTGCAATCCACAACAAATGGCCTGGTATTCAACTGTAAACACATTTTCTCAGACTATATCTGAAAAACATTTGCCATCCTTAAATGATGGTGTTGTACATTTGAGAATCATTGCATATCTCGTGGCTCGTCTCAAGAGTCCTAAATGAAAAACTAACAAAATAGTCCATGTCGTACGAAATTTGTGTGAGTTTTGTAAGGCTGAAATTAAGTCTTTCAGGTCAAAAGTCCCAGAACTGCCCCCCTGGATGGAAAGTTGGACCATCGCATATAACTTCCCTCTCCCCCTTCCCTAACTCCCTCCCCTCTCTTCGAAAATCAAACTCTCTTGTGCCAAGCCCCCATCGGCTTAAAATTCTAACAGCTTAATTGAGAATCTGAAGGTAACAAACTATTTTATCAAATTTAAAACACAGCTGACTTGGCATTGAGACAACCTGCAAACATGACCTTTCCTTGCGATTCAGAAGCTGCATCGGCTGTTGAAGGCACATCAGCAAGGTGTGCAGTCACCAGTCTTCTCACGGACCCCTGGTGGCGTGTAGATCTGGGAACAAGTTACGTTGTCGATGTAGTAGACATTACAGCCGGTGCAGATGGGTTAACAGATTTTGAAATACGAGTCGGTAAGTGGTTCAAGTCATAGAACAAAACATCTGGTAATTTGGTATTATTAACTGAGTTCATAGCGTAAATAAATTGGCCACCGTTAAGAGTTTATAAGCTGACGTTTTGAGCGTTAGCCCTTCGTCAGAGCGATAACCGTACATCCGCTTAGTCTTCCAGAAGTTCTTCTCTGATGGCTGATTAGAACAAAGGAAAGAAAGAGAAGCCAATAGGATTCGAGGGTTATAGTTTCAACCGCGTGAGAACGCGAATTACCAATTTACGGTCGATTTTAGTTTTAAATCTGATTGGATGAGAGGGTGGCTTGAGTTCCCTAAACCAGTCGTAGCCCAGAATGTAACATTTAGTCGCCACATCGGTATATTCGATGGAGAGGACAGTATTAATACCCACGGAGTAATTGGGGTCTTAATCAGAGCGTCAGTGCATACCTCTCCGATACTCGAATATTGTGTGAATCATATTATCATCGATTCTTTATTATTTGGTCACTAAAATATCAAAACGTTATGTCCCTACGCGTTTCTTGTCAAAAGTGTTATGAAATAAATAGAGATAAAGTCAGTTTTATCCTTTATTTCCTTCTACTAACTCTACATTTTATTATTTCCCCAGGCGACAATCTTGATAATGAAGGAAACTTAAACCAAAAGTGTGGAGGACCACACACTTTGACTTCTTCACAGGAAATGTCGTTCTTTTGCACCCCAGGTATCAAGGGTCGGTATGTGAACATCCGAATAGCGGGAAACAACAAGAAGCTGGCCATCTGTGAGGTGTCAGTTAATCCTAATCCAACAGGTGGGCTCTGAACTTCGTCCTTGCAAATAGGAAGGAGGAAGAAATGTAAATGTAGTGGGTACAAAAATAGCGAGAAAGGTAGGAAGTGTGATATGAATCGCCCTGACGAAGGGCTAACGCTCGAAACGTCAGCCTTTAAACTCTTTACGGTGGCCAATTGACGTTTAAAACTCAAATGAAACTGCAATAAACCTGCAAGACTCCTGGCGAAGGGCTAAAACCAAATAAAAAGAAACGTATTGGAGCCTTTAGTGTGGGTTGACACTAAAACGGTAAAAAAGCAAAAAAGTTACAAGTTGCGACTAAGGTAAATTAGAGTAAAGAAATAACAAAACTGCAAAACGAGGACTGTTAACACTTACATTGTTTTGGCCAGAGTTCTGTAAAGAGGACTGCGAATAACGCGAAGAGGCTAGAAACAAACTAAACAGACGCGGACCAAACTGAACTCACAAACTTTACTGACAAATTACGATATCAAAAAACTATAGAACATGCAGAAAATAAAACTATAGAAAGGCGCTAATGAAGATGAAACAGCACGGAAATACGAGGGCACGAAAACTGACAGAAAGAGATAAACACCTAAATTAACGCCAAAAAAGAAGACTAAACAAATGGACGAAAAGAAGTATAAAAAAGGAAAAACAAATTAGGCAAGAACGAATAATCAAAAAAAATGTTACACTTGGATCTAACAGTTAACACTAAATTGCCTGTTCTACTCTCCCACTGACGCAGCACCAGAGCTTCTTTAGAACCTCTATTAGTGAGGTAAATAGTTGGGTAAAAGAAAGGAATAAAGGTTGGTAGGGAGATAGATAATCAGATAGGTAGGCAGTATGAGAGCGAGAGTGTGAAGGAGGTTGGCAGGTAAGCAGGGCAGGCAGGTGAAACAGGAGGCAGGGAGGTAGCAGGGTAGGCATCTGGGTCTGCAGTCTGATCGTTCGGGTTAGAGTAGCCATAGGAGGACTGTTGTTGGTAGTAGTGACTGAGGTTTTGACAACCGTGGTTGACTAACTTAGTGGTTGACTAACTTAGTAGAGACCCCTCTCAGCAGATACCAACAACTAGTGGCACCATACAAACGACTTGTTCACGACATTTACATAACAAACGTACCAAACGTACCGAATAGAAGGACCTAACATTACTGGCGAATAGAAACTGACTAAACACAACCGTTACTCAAAGAGAAATCAAGGCTATGTCTAAGTTATTAGTTATGGAAATTTGAGATGGTCGTCCTGTGGCGAAGCTGTTAGGGGTGGGTTCATGTGAGCTTTGAAATTTTATTTCTATTAGCATAGTCGGTCACTTTTGTTTGTACTTTATCAGTAAACCTTGCTTTGAGCAAGTCAGCTTCTCAGTCCTCTGTCTACCACGATGCTTACCCTGTGCGAGCAGTGGATGGAAATACTGACGGTGTCTGGAGCTCATTAAGTTGTACACATACATATAGAACAACGGATCCTTGGTGGCGTGGGGATCTGGGATCAAGTCAGCACGTATCAGAGGTGTTCATAGTCAACAGAGTAAAGCATGAAAATAGGCTTTTCAACATAGAAATCCGTGTCGGTGAGCCAAAACTCCTTGGAATATAGTTAATTTCACGTCATCGTTTCAGGTCATTTACAGGCCCCCATTCAAAACAGCTTACAACTGAACTGCCTCAGTCTGATAAATATTGCGATAAATAAATGCAAGACAAAAAAATAAATAGGTTTGGTTCAAATTCATGTTGTGATATATACGATAAATTTCATCAACTTTATCTTACGACTGGCATGGTGGCCATGTTATGTAGATAAACTCTTTTGTTACACCTCCCAACACAAATACGTTTTCCTATTGGAGGAGAACGTGTCACATGCTATGTGTCACTTACCGTATTTACCCGTGTATAATGCGCACTTTTTTTTCCATAAAAACAAGCATCAAAATCGCGGTGCGTATTATACACGGATTCTATTGTTTGTCAAGCACGTCCTAATTTGCATACGTACATACATACGCAACAAAGAAAGTAAAAGTGCACGGATCGGTGGCCTGGGGAGGAGAAAGAGCTTGCTTGCTTGTTTACGACTCATTTGAAGCTCACATGACAGATACTGTGAACACTTCCTTCAAACGCGAACTTCCCTTCTCCAGTCGCTCGATGTATCTTTGAACAAACCATTTAGAGATGGAGTCCGAAAGGAGTGGATGGCTGATGGAATTCACGAACTTACTGGACGACAAAAAAAGGCTTCGGAGGAACTGATCTGTTCGTATATTTCACAAGCGTAGGGAGGCATTCCATCAGAAATGATCGCTGCCTCTCTCTGAAGTGTGGGATGGTACTCCTTAAGACGAACAAAACTCACTAATTCCCAAGGGAAACAATTACCTGAGCTTTCGACTCGCACGTGAGCACGTCGGGAACCTTAAAACCTCGGCAAAGCTGTGTGCCACTCCGAGTTAAGAAATTTCTATTTTTTCAGTGATTCTCTAGACTTTGAAGGTATATAAAAACACTTAATGAATGGCCCTACGGGAAATAATAAGTTTTATATTCTCTCAAGGAGACAATCTCACTGTTTCCCTTGCGGCCAGCTTTAAGGATAGCATTAACCTTGATTAACTGCACTTCTTCAACTTCAACGATCAGCAAAGTCTTCTAAAAGAAGTTTTTTTTATCCCTCAGGAGATAGTTTGGCAAATAATGGAAACTCCAATCCGAGGTGTGGTGGCTTGTACTCGATGGCTAATTTGCTCAAAGCTTCGTTTTATTGCAAACCGAGGAAAAATGGACGATACGTAAATATCAGACTGGTGGGAAGTAGCATGGTTCTGACTTTGTGCGAAGTGGAGGTGTATTCCGAAAGTAGAGGTATCTTTTAGTTTAACTTCTTAATTAAACTCTCAGAAGTACTTCTTATGTAAGTTCCCTCTATAATATCCGTACATCATCCAGCAAACAGATAATGAGAATACTCAAATTTTATCAAGAAGAAGTTGTTACCTTGATCTAACACGAAATTTTCTCGCAAATAAATTACATGGAAAAATATAGCGGCGAGAGAGGAGAATTAACCATCAAATCTTGAAAGTTTAAGGGTTATATTCATAAAAAGCTTTCCGCATGCTCATAAATTGACGCACTTTACTTCAAGGTCTTTCTCCATAGCTAAATGCCTTGTGGAGGAGGGAAGAGGAAAGAGCGAATTGGTAGGGAGGGAGGGTAGGAAGAGTTGTAGATCAAAGGCACAATAATGGATATCACAAGAGCCTTGTCCGTGACCATTTGGTCATGGTAGACAAACAGCTCGTTGTTAGTTCCTAATCCCAGTCCGCAGCCCTTAGTTACAATACTTACAGTAAGATTGTAACTGAATACGAACGTAAAAGGTTGGCTTTCTAGAGGGATTAAAAAATGATGATAACAGCATTTTCCTCATTCTAGCCATTCTGAAATACAAGCCAGTAAAACGCTCAGTGCAGGACGTCTATTACCAAACTTCTATAACTCTGGTCTGTCCAGAGCCTTTCGGTTATCCTGAACCGTTCGTAGCCTGGGTAAAAAATGGTGTCGTCCTTCAAAACAGCTCATCCGACTTGACACTGAATCTGTCAATCACTGCTCAAAGGGATACTACCAAGTGGACAATTGACTGTGTGGCCAGCAACAAACATGGCGCTGATTATCACAGATTTGTTTTGAACTTGCACAGTAAGTAAAAGAACCGCACCGTTTCATAAGCGAGAGCCAGGCGTGGATCTTTTAATGGAAACTCTGCTAGGCAGTCCAAGAATGAATTCAACGCTCAGAATATAGTTTATCAGTTATGTCCTGCGATCAGTCCTTTTCTTTAAATTAGCGGTTTTATCGTTGCGTTTTTGATATCTGATACATATTTGTGTTCACGGATTTCTCTAATTGCTGGTTTTCAGTGTCACGCCATTCAAAATAGATCAAAATAAAAAATAAAAACCGTTCAATCGATTTAGTCTAGAATCTGGAAATAGAAAGAAGCTAGATATGTAAAGACTCTCGCCAAGATTCAGGTCACAGCAATTTTTCTTACGGAAGATATGAGGAGAAACGTTTTTCCCAAATTTATAGAGATTTGTATGGAGCCGCCATGCTGGTGCCCACCTAGATGGGCACCAACATGGCGGCCGGAAACCAGCAGAAACATCTGTCACTGAGTTTTGCTACAAAAGCGTGAATTTATCTCTCTAAGAACTCATAAACGTAACAATAATACTTTATTCTAATACAAGAACTGTTCAGATAGCTGAATTTCCCTAAATAAGTCACCTTTTAAACCAACATAACAGCTCTCTCGCTCGTCATGTAAAGGCCACGTCACGCAAAAGCTTAGAAATTCAAGAGTAGTCTATCACTAAACCAAGAACCCATTTGGAGTGAAAATTTGTCTGAATATTAGTTTTTAGCTGCTCTAATACATCATGAAAGTAAAATCTCAGGAGGATCAATAGTTCTGAAGTCTGAAATTTAGTGACGTCACGTGAAAACCAGCAATAGGAGGAAAGACATAATGACCTTCTTTACCATCAGCTTTTCTTTTATTCTGTTATGTGATACATATAGATTCTAGGTTGGCGTGCGTCCGTTGAGTAAGTTGCAAAAGAATTTCAAAGACCGGAAAGAACAACGGTGACACACTTGGCTGCGCCGCTTTTGTATGTTCATGGCACATTTTGACGTTATCTGTAAACTATTGCTGAGAAATGCATCGAGACATATACTATAGTTCTTATTTCTTACACATCATCATGTCAAGGATGGTTTCGAAAAACTTGACCTCTTTGAAACTTTTGGTTTGCAAGATATCTACTGATACTTCCTATAGAGAGCTTTTTGCACTAAAGGTCATCACATTAGCCACCTCTACGCGACTCGGAATGAAGAGAATCTACATCAAGAGAGTGATTTCCATTTGCCGGTCTTTTTCTGTGCAGTGATGCGAGCTCGCTTATACACAAAGAGAACAGTGGTATATGCCACTTCAAGTAAAGCGCCTTGAAATTGTAATCAACCCCCCCCCCTCCCCACTTAGTAAGCTCCTGTCCACCCCTAAAACACTCCCACCTACACACGTTTCTAACTGTTCATTTTTCCACTCTTATGTTTTCCTTGTTTTATTGATATCGCTAATTAAGTATATCAAGTGTAAAATACAAAAATAATTCGTCGAAACCACACACGATGGAGGCGCAAGCAATTATCTCTTGGCTTCGGGCGTTTCACAAAATTCATTATCTGAGCTGCAGTCTTAACCCAATCCCTGAAAAGCCTCACGATACTCGATCCAGAAAAAAAATACGTGGCTCCAATTAATCTAGAGTGTCAATTCCAGTTCTTTAGGTAAAGGTACAATGATGTGCTGTCACCAAGTATAAGTAGGTCAGATTTAAGAATTACGTGACTAGTCTGTAAATATGTGCTTAGCGTCGCACGCAACACGCCTCCTAAGGGAAGACATGATTTCGTTTTTTACCTTAGATCTTAGCTTTCATTTCAGCCTTTTACTCTGTTCTCTAATACCAAATTTACCTGCCATCTGATCATTTTACCATAGCCGAACGTTTCATGCTGATTATTTGGTGGCATAGAACTGAAACCTATTAAGATTTAAAACTATGCGTTTGAACACCCTTTTAAAGCAAATATAAGAATTAGAGTCAAGAGGTGATGTTTCTTGCCTAAAGCGCAATGCACAGCTGGCTGGGTCATTCTATTCAAAAGCCGCAGACGAAATTTTGACCCAGTTTCAAGCAAAACTTGAAAACACTTGAGCAAGAAAAGAACACTATATCTGCGACAAAGTAAGTCAGTTTAAGTTCTCTGGGTAAACGTCACATGATCAACTGCAATAACTAAGAACAGATTTTCGAATCTAACTTTCCTGTAATGACACCCTAAGCTTCGTCTACATCTATTTTGCTAGGAGAGATGGAGTTTTTTTTCCTCCAGTTGATCTCGAGAGAAAGATGAGGGGCTTTCGCCGAACATGCAGGTTTTTCTTTGCTCCGTACTCCGATGAAAAAATTTACCTGCCATCTGATCGTTGATAGTTGACTCATGCTGCGAATGGTTATAATTTCACAAACTATCTTTGTTTTAAGATTCACTTTGGATTTTAAGTTATTTCTTTTGATTGTAATAATAAGCATTTCCTAATTAAGTATTAACTCGTCGCACAAATCTCTCTTATCGTCCTTATGAAAACTGAGTAAGTTCTTAAATAAGCTTTTTTGGATAGCTACCCCTTCTCTTAATTATTGATGCAGTAGAAAATGTAAATCACTATTTTTGACAGTTGACGACATTTCGCTCACTACGGATTTCGTAGTTACGACCTCCATCAAGAGCTAGTTCGCATCTTCATATTGATATTGAGTTGCTCGCGGAAAAAAAACCCAAGGATCGCAGTCTAATAGTAATTAATGAAAAATATTGAACTGATTAAGACTTGTAAGACGGTTATTCCCGTGTGGAACTTCAATCTTTAGCTACATGAGCTGTCGCAGGCTCTGTGTGGAAAAAATGTATAGTGTTGTGACTTTTCGTTTTTCAGCTGAATGATTTCGCTGAGGAAAGCTTTAAGTCGTGCATATCAACGCGACGCTAAAACTTAATGGGAGATATCACCTCCACCTCCACCTCCACAACCTCTGTTCCCTGTTGTTCGCTCCTGACTCTTTCAGAAATTGACGACTCTTTTCTCCGAGGCATATGAAATTCAAGCCAGCAAAAATATACAGAACAACCGCGACCACAAAAAAGCGAGATACAAGCTAGCTTTTTCAATAACGATAAAAATTAAACGCACGATTTTCTGATCGCACGCTCATGGAAAGGAGTTTATACAAATGTACAAATGTCTTCCCAGTGTGGTGCAGAGTTTGAAAACAGTTTTGAAAAAAGTTATCATGAGTCATAGGTATAAATTCTCTCACTTCATCCTCCCTTGTGATATAAATATCTCACTTTTCAGCTTTACAAAAGTGAGCGAATCTAAAGAATTCTGCACCACAAAGGTGTCTCAGTTCCATTTTCCGGTCCCTCTCGCTGCATAAACGTGAGCCCGCCGGGGAGGCGAGAGCAGCGGTATAGGTCACCTTACTCACGACGCGTTGAAATTGATGACTGTGACCCCACCCCCACCCCCACCCCCATCCCCACCAGGTACACCCCTGCCCACCCCTCAAACACACCTACCCAAACACTTATCTTTGCTTTGTTTATGCTGATCTATTGAGAGCAGGCTTAACTGGTTTCCGTAAAAACCATACGCGACGAGATCAATTTTTCCTTTCGTTTTTTTCAATAACAACTGCTGCAATCTTAGTCCAAGCACTGTGAAACTTAAAGATTTTCAAGCCTGAAAGGAAAGTCATAACTCCGACCAAGTAAGTCAGTTTAAGTTCTCGAGGTAAAAAACACATGATCAACTGCCATAACAAAGATCAGACTTAAGTATTACATAAGCAGTCTGTAAATCCGCTCTAAGCGTCGACAGTTCTTTCCCTGCTACGGGAAAACATCTTTCTTCTTTTCTTTTTTTTATCACTCCAAAGTAAGAAGAGAGATCTTCGCCTAGCTTTCAGTTCTTTTTTTTTTATCTTGTTGATGGTATTTCATCGTTTTGTTTCAGCTGGAATTTAACCGGCAATCATTTATCGAACTGAAAATTATTCAGACTTCCGAAAATCATGTGTCAAATGAGATGTTCGTAGCAGATATTCACGTTAGCAGAGAGATCTTGGCCTAACTTGCATATCTTGTACTCTGTGCTTTGATATCAAAATTTACCTGCCATCTGACTTATATGATCTAGCCGAATTTTCCTAGATGATGCATCATTAAGTGGTATCGTACTGAAACTTATCCAAACTTGAAACTCTATGTTAAGCTAAACAATCAAAGTTGCTATGGAATCCTTTTAAGGAACGGTTCCATAAAAATTGGACCCAAGAAATGAACTTCCAGGATCTTGCATAAAACGCTTTCTGCGGCTGGTTGATTTCCGGCACGATGATTGACTGATATTGCGAATAGTTTTAAAATCGCAAACAGTATTTGTTTTAAGATTTTCTACCTAGATTAAGATATTATTGTTCTGATTATTCTAAGTATGAGGTATATTTTTTTTTTCATTATTATCCATCTACAAATTACGCTCGTAAACATCGTAAATAAGGTAAATAATAGCCATAAATTCCCTTGCTGACGCAATAGAATATGTAAATGCTGTCGGCGACAGACGACATCTCGTATGCCAAACATTTTTCGAGAAGACTTACATCAAGAGGTCGCATTCCATCTCGCCTTACTCAGAGAAACTTCTGTGAAAAAGCATGGAGATATTATGTCCCAACTTAAACACATCCGTAAGATGACATACACCTCATCAAATCCATTGGAGCTACTTGCAGGGCTCAAGTATTCTCAGCAACGAGAAATTGCGTGCAACCTGCTGCTTTGTATGTGTTCATATGATAGACTGAATTTTTAAAGGCATTTTGACTGGTTCTTAATTGCAATCTATAGGAGGAAAGACATAATGACCTTCTTTACCATCAGCTTTTCTTTTATTCTGTTATGTAATACATATAGATTCTAGGTTGGCGTGCGTCCGTTGAGTAAGTTGCAAAAGAATTTCAAAGACCGGAAAGAACAGCAGCGACACACTTGGCTGCGCTGCTTTTGTATGTTTATGGCACATTTTGACGTTATCTGTAAACTATTGCTGAAAAAATGCATCGAGACATGTACTATAGTTCTAATTTCTTACACATCATCATGTCAAGGATGGTTTCGAAAAACTTGACCTCAACTTTCAATCAGATGAGTGAATACTTTAGAGATTGTTTTGGTTTGCAAGATATCTACTGATACTTACTATAGAGAGCTTTTCGTACTAAAGGTCATCACATTAGCCACCTCTACGCGACTCGGAATGAAGAGAATCCACATCAAGAGAGTGATTTCCATTTGCCAGTCTTTTTCTGTGCAGTGATGCGAGCTCGCTTGTACACAAAGAGAACAGTGGTATATGCCACTTCAAGTAAAGCGCCTTGAAATTGTAATGAACCCCCCCCCCCCCCACTAAGTAAGCTCCTGTCCACCCCTAAAACACTCCCACCTACACACGTTTCTAACTGTTCATTTTTCCGCTCTTATGTTTTCCTTGTTTTATTGATATTGCTAATTAAGTATATCAAGTGTAAAATACAAAAATAATTCGTCCAAACCACACACTATGGAGGCGCAAGCAATTATCTCTTGGCTTCGGGCGTTTCACAAAATTCATTATCTGAGCTGCAGTCTTAACCCAATCCCTGAAGAGCCTCACGATACTCGAGCCAGAAAAAACGTGGCTCCAATTAATCTAGAGTGTCAATTCTAGTTCTCTAGGTAAAGGTACCATGATGTGCTGTCACCAAGTATAAGTAGGTCAGATTTAAGAATTACGTGACTAGTCTGTAAATATGTGCTTAGCGTCGCAGGCAACACGCCTCCTAAGGGAGGACATGATTTCGTTTTTTACCTTAGATCTTAGCTTTCATTTCAGCCTTTTACTCTGTTCTCTAATGCCAAATTTACCTGCCATCTGATCATTTTACCATAGCCGAACGTTTCATGCTGATTATTTGGTTGCATAGAACTGAAACCTATTAAGATTTAAAACTATGCGTTTGAACACCCTTTTAAAGCAAATATAAGAATTAGACTCAAGAGGTGAGGTTTCTTGCCTAAAGCGCGTTGCACAGTTGGCCGGGTCATTCTACTCAAAAGCCGCAGACTACCTTAATGACTTTTATTAATGATGACTGTCTGATATTGCGAATAGTTCTGAATTTAAAGTATTTGTTTTTGGATAAACAGTATTTGTTTTAAGATCTACTTTCGATATTCAGATATTTTTGTTTCGATTTTTCTAATTAGCATTTCCTGAATAAAGCATTTATAGGGAGTGCCAATCTCTCTTATACTTCTGAAATATAAGCTTGTAGATTAATTTTTCTAGTTGAATACCCATTCTCTTGTGGATGCAGTAGAATATGTAAATGTTATCGGAAAATGACGACAATTTGGCTTTAAAGACCTCCATCAAGAAGGTAATTCATCTCACTTTTCGGAGTAAAATATCTGTGAAAAAGCAATATGGCGGAGGCAGATACTCTCTTCCAAATTGAACACATCCACAACGTGACGTGGACCTCGCCCGGTGCATTGCAGCTCTCCATTCATGACACCTTCAACGTGCGTCTCCCCACCACGGTCTTTTTATCGTTGTATTTATGTTGAAACGTGAATTATATACGTACGTATATCATTTTGTTCTTATGATACATTTGGGAACAGACTTATAGATATCCCCTCAAATTTACCTCTTTGTTCATTCCATGTTGCCATGTAAGAGATCAGTAACATATCAAAGAGGATCTGGAAATATGGTAAGAACGTCGGTCACACACTGGGCTGCACCTCGTGTGCCTCTTCTTAGTTCTAACCACATCTTGACACCATCTGTAGCTAGAAATATTGAGCCAACGCATGGTATCGTGGAATCTATTTGTTGATTGGTTACATCTGATCTTTTTTTTTTTTAGTTTTCATTTCAACCAGGGATCAGACCATAAATTATAATGTTTGGAAAAACTTTATCTCGACTTTTTCACTAGCTTAGTAGCGTTTAATACAATCATTCTCGTTGGCAAGATATCTACTGATATCGGAAAAAAGAGAGTTTTCTTTACCAGAGACCATTGGTTGTAGCAACTTCTGTTTATTTCGTAGCTAGCTATTTTCAGCCATGTTCAACTGTCGATTTCTCTCGCGATCGACGCTTCTATGCATAAGAACCAGTCTTTTAAGTGCAGCCCACATCTTTGAATGGTTCTCTAAGTTTTATTTCCTTATTAACCAAAGTCTATCAGAACAAAGCTAAGTATGGTAACTAAGGACACTGCCTAAAGGGCGGGAAAATGCGAATGACCAAGTTTTGAATCTGATGGATTGAAAAAGTGAAGCGATTTTTTTGGGCCAATTACTGAGCAAAGTAAAGCAAAACCAAACTAATGCTGTTTTTACCCAAGAGATCATTAGATTCATAATTGTCTTGCTCTGTTTCAGTCAAAGCTAAATATGCTGTCATTAAAGGACCGTGCAAACTGGACAGGAGCTCAGGCCAGGAGTCAGTTTCGACGGAATTTTTTCCCGCGAGAACAGACCAATGGCATGTCAGCTGGTTTTACGCAAGCTAGTGTTCATATCATTCCTTCGTCCGCAGCAGATCATTTCCATGAATTTTGCAAAATGAACCATGCCGCTCTCCCTTTGGTGTACCGGACAAAGCCAGGGGAAGTGTCAGCCCCACCCTTAGCTGCAGATCTGGACATTCGGTAATAAAAGAGGACAAACCGAGGGGTTTGTTTATAAAAAAAAAAAAAGAAAGAAAAAGAAAGGGAAATTTAAGGAGGATCGCTCTCTATCAAAGCTACGCGATTGACAATTAAAAAAAGTAAACAATTAAACTTGAAATGAGACCCTCTAACAAAAAGATATCAGGTTGGAAGGAATGCAAAACACGAAACATTACTTCTAGTCGTTAAATTTTTTGAGAAAGAGAGCTAGTCGAAATCGTATTTTATTTTGCCCTGGATGGTAACCACGAAGTGAGGCAGGTCCTGAATGGGTGTCACTTTTGTCGGTGGCTAGCTCTTTTAGCGCCTTATAGTCAGCTGGAAATTGCTAAAAAAATGGGTTCTCTTAGCTTTCAAACTTTATTTCACGGCCACTAAAATAGACATTTTATCTATGTCATTCTGTATTTCTTTTCTAATGTCAAAATGTTACACAAAGTATTATCAGTTTCACTAAGCCTTTACCCCAGTTCTGATTTCTCTGGACAAACACATCAGCAGCTAGAACTGCTTTCGATTTCCTGACATCAAGCCGGCTGAAACGTTCATCAATTCTTTTCTTACAGCACAGATCAGTCAGCATATGGGATATACGAAAATGGGGTCTGCACTAAAACCGTAACCGACCTACTAGATATACCCTTTGATGACTTCGTTACATTTTACATCGGCTCCAGTAGCTCGTTCGAGCTTGCGCTACAGGACGCTGGTCTTCCGGTTCGGCAACTAGAAAGCGGAAGAAAAGCACCTACTTACCAAACAAGGGTCTTGACAGTAAAGTCAGGTCCTTTCTCAGGTACCGTTGGCATGTCACTGCGTCCAATGCCCCGGAACTTAGTAGAGAGGGCTGCCCAGGTGACTGCTGTCTTGGACAAAGTGCATGGAGCCCCAATACATATTGGTCATCCTTCCTGGATCGGAGTGGAGGATCTGCAAAATCCAGAATTTGACGACAAACCGTACATGAAAGAAGGAGATGTCTGCATGTTCTGGGCTTGTGGAGTCACGGCCGCGACAGCGATAGCGAATGCAAGTAGGTGGCCAAAAATATTCCTTCATTACCAACCTCTGGATGTGGTGGATGCGCTTTTTAGATTAAAATACTAAAAGGCTGGCATCAATTCCTATTCCCCCTTTATACGTTCTAGGATTACTAATTAAAGATGCGTCTCTCATCCAAGTTTTTGTTGTTGGTTTTTTTGTTTTCCTTTAAGGATTACCCTTGGCAATAAGTGTCAGCCAAAGTGAAATAGCCTGTAACTTCATTACTGATCTAAACAACGAAGAATTTAACAAAGTGAACGTACCCAAGTGGCTCGAATCCATGCAAACTAAAGCCGTCTTCATATCTGAAAACCCAGTGTTTTGTTCGTTAATTTCTGACAAAGCGTTAGAACTGATTCGACAGCTGGAGAAACAGAGGAGACAGGAGAAAATAACACCCACGGACGAAATGCCTGAAGCTCTCGCTAAAGCAGCTCTCAGACTCAGCCACGCATGTTCTGTTGCCATAGTTACGCTAAACCTGACTACTACCAGAGGAAGTCTCAGTGTGCTGTCAACCATTAAGTCTCTTTTGGCGAGCGAGTCTAAAGAAGTCACATTGATCGTCCCAGAGGAAAAGCAAGTGGAGTGGAGAAATTTGATCGACCGTTGTGTCGAGTTGAAGTTACTGAAAAAGTCAGTTGCCGTGAACAAAATTGAAGCAAGAAAAGGAAGCTCGAAGGATGATATCTCGCAAATTTCGCGTCAAGTGCTATCGGCCATGGAATGTTCCACACTGGACGATGTTCTTCCTCGCAAGTTTACTGCACTGATCAGTTTCAGCCAGGAAGGTATGAAAGCGCCACAGAACAGTTCTCTCTCTCTCTCTCTCTCTCTCTCTCTCTCTCTCTCTCTCTCTCTCTTTCAAAGTCTTAACCATGCTCGTATGAGGAGGGGAGGCTAAGGTGAAGGAATCTTCTTAGCAATGTTCGTATGTGGAGGGGAGGCTAAGGTGAAGGAATCTTCTTAGCAATGTTCGTATGTGGAGGGGAGGCTAAGGTGAAGGAATCTTCTTAGCAATGTTCGTATGAGGAGGGGAGGCTAAGGTGAAGGAATCTTCTTAGCAATGTTCGTATGTGGAGGGGAGGCTAAAGTGAAGGAATCCTCTTAGCCATGCTTGTACGCGGAGGGGAGGCTAAGGTGAAGGAATTCTCTTAGCCATGCTCATATCTGGAGGGGAGGCTGAGGTGTGGGTGCCCTACCCTCTGATGCAAAAAACGAAGATGTGGAGTTTCATGGCACATCTGAATAGCACGGATTGCGTCATTCTATGAGATATTCATGTTAATAGTGATACCTTGTCAGTGCATGCAATAACCACTTTTTAAGTTGAATAGAGAAACGCTTATTCATAAGGTCGCGCTCCGATTTTTTAGAAGAACGCGCTTGTGATGAATTGCTTGGGAAAGTAATGTCTATTTGCAATCAAATTTTTAATTTAATCCGACCCATGTCCAACTTTTTTCTCAGGAGGTTCCGTATGGGTGGATAGCGGAGCTGAACGAATAATAAGTAACGATGTCGGTAAAACCTTCTATTGTTCTTGGCCTGGTGAAGTCATAGCAGCAGCATTATACATACTGAATTGCTGTCCAGTGCACTCTCGTTATCTGAGAAAAGGCTCTGGGTTACACCAGCCTTTACAGCAGAGCGAGTATCTGATGAGCCCTGAAGAGGTCAGTAAGTTTTATCACTTTCCTTCTTCTTCTTCATCCTCTTCCTCTCCTATATTTTGGTAGCTCAATAATGTATATTTCTATCAAAAGAACTGAGCTGAAATTCATGCTGGCCGTTGCGACACGCCTCATTGTCAGCCTTCCTCCTTCCCTCCCTCCCCTCCCCCCCACACAAACAGCTGCCTTGTCGTCTGACAACCTCTTGAGGTACATCGCAAATAGACTAAACGCTAGCAAATATCCTCGGGTTATAAATCTTCTCCACTTGACCCTTTTTAGGTTATTAGTCCTTGCAGACGCCCAAATGAGTAGATGGGTGAAAATATTCGGAAGGAATCCTGTCCGGTTATTCTTCCTTCTTCCCCCCGCCCCTCCCGCTTATTTGTTCGTCTCCACATTTTCAAAGTGAGTGCCTACAACAGGCTATTCGTCAATTTGAATAATGGTTAAAACATCCCTTTAATCCGTTTGACAAGTGTAACAAATAGAAACAAGGTCACTTGATGCTACTTGCACGGTAACGGCACTCTGCTGTGGCACTTTTAAGAACATCATGAGATGTTCGGAGACTCCTGACAACCAGAAATAGCTTGTTAACTCACTACCGCTTTTTTCCTTTCTAATAGCTTGGAACACTGATGTCGAACTCTAATGTAAAGTTCAGCGCTGAAAAAGTGGAAGACCTCATAAACAAAACCAGCAACTCAGTGGTAAACGCCATGATTTGTTTAAACGGCGAGGCGTAAATTCAGGCAGTTGATATATAGTACACAGGGATTCTTGTACATTGTTTGGTTTAGATTTAAATAGTTTAGTTACTGACTCAGTAATTGGTTTAATTACGTTGAGTCCAACCCGTAACACCCTGGGAATGACTCAGTATCACTGCTGAATCAATCACTAATGATTCCCACCCGATGAAGCCTTTGGTCGATGGTTAAAAAAAGTAGCCCTACCGTTCAAATATTTTAGGGAGTAGGCTTCTCCTACCAAATTAGAGAAGAAGTATGCTTCAGAAACCACATGATTTATATCTCCATTGCTGAAAGTATCCATGAAAATTAAGTGCTCATCGCAATTTAAGATTTCCAAAGATTGGCTCATCATTCAAAAATTATCCTCAACTATGCCCATCTCTGAACAGTTGACGCCGCCATATGGAAAACAACGTTAACTCTATAACTTAATTACGTCCGCACGATGTCACAGAATCAGTTCACAAACAGCTACTGCTTTTTTGATTGTCAAGAATGCCTTTTGAGAAGCTCCTGATTTTTAAAAGAAAGCGTCAAGTGACTGACTAGCGCAGAACGAGACTAGCACAAGTCAGCGGCGAGGTTTCACAACAAGATTTAAAATGGCGGACATCAGAGGGGAATTTTTGACACATTTTGCGGGTCAGTGTCGTAATTTCATTAACAGTTTTTATTAATGGAGATATGTGTTATGCAGTTTTGGAAGCACACTTCTTTAAGTCGGGTGTAGTTTAGTTTCGGGTGTGAACTTACTACTATTCAGTTTAGTTCAGTTTAGTTTTAGACTTCAGATTAGTTTAGTTGCGTTTAATACAGTTCAATCTGGATTGTTTAATAAGATATCACAGTAAGCTGAGAATTAGAATGTTGCCAGCAAGATGTAGTCATGATTTTTGTATGTGCATTTACGCTAAAGTTTGGATAGAACGTGCGCTGCAAACACTGTTTTCTTTGTAATTTTAAAAAGCGTTTTTTCATCTTGATAAGATCTCAAGAATTGATTTAACTAGAATAATAAGTGGGAAGGAATAAAAGTGGTATTGATACTGTTTTGATGTTGGTGTTATGTTCGTGTGATGTGCCCGATCTTCTACGCAGACCAGACGTAACGCAAGGCTTTTCTAGAATATAAAGAGCGTGACATTCAGCGTAGCGTGACACTCAAGGATACAAGAACATTGGGAAAAACGCTGATTTACAGTGAGCATGTTAATCACTGTATATATCAGAAACCGCGGTGATCGATAGTTTTATCTAAATTTATTTTAGAGACGCCTTTCAGGGGCCCGTTTTGTAAAATTCATATAGGGTCATAGTTGTGTCTACGTGCAAAGCATCTGGAGGAAACATTTGAGTCATTTGACCTAATAATAGGTCAGTTCATTTCATCACTTTCCTTCTTCTTCTTCTTCTTTCTCTTCCTCTCCTATATAATTTGGTTGCTCAATAATGTCTATTTTTATCAAAAGAAGTGAACTGACATTCATGCTGGCCGTTGCGACACGCCTCATAGTTAGCCTTCCTCCCTCGCTCCCATCCCCCCCCCCCCCCCATACAAACAGCTACTTTGTCGTCTGACAACCTCTTGAGGTACATCACAAATAGACTAAATGCTAACAAATATTCTCGGGATATAAATCTTTTCCACTTGACCCTTTTTAGGTTATTAGTCCTTGCAGACGCCCAAATGAGTAGATGGGTGAAAAAAGTAGAATATTCGAAAGGAATCCCGTCTGGTTATTCTTCCTTCTTCCCCCGCCCTTCCCGCTTATTCGTTCATCTCCACATTTTCAAAGTGAGTGCCTACAACAGGCTATTCGTCAATTGAATAATGGTTGAAACATCCCTTTGGTCCGTTTGACAAGTGCAACTAATAGAAAGAGGGTCACTTGATACTACTTGCTTAGTAACGGCACTCAGCTGAGGCACGCTTGTTAACTCACTATCACTTGTTCTCCTTTTAACAGCTTGGAACACTGATGTCAAACTTAGAAATAAAGTTCAGCGCTGAAAAAGTGGAAGACCTCGTAGACAAAACCAGCAACTCAGTGTTAAACGCCATGAGTTGTTTAAACGGCGAGGCGTAAATTCAGGCGGTTGATATATAGTACACAGGTCTTCCTGTACATTGTTTGGTTTGGATTTAAATAGTTTAGTTACACCAAGAAGCTAGTTTACTAACGTTGAGTTTAACCCTCAACAACTTGAGAGTGACTGGCAACTTATTATTCCTTTCAGTATCACTGTTGAATCGAACATTAAGGTCACGAGAATGAAAGAAACGATTCCCATCCAAATTAAACCGTTAAATATTTTAGGGGGCAGGCTTCTCCTACCAAATTAGAGAAAAAGTATGCTCCAGAAACCATATTATCTATATCTCCACTGCGAAGATTGTCCATGAAAATTAACTCCTCATCGCAGTTTAAGATTTCCAAAGATTGGCTCATCTTTCGAAAATTATCCTCAACTATGCCCATCTCCGAACAATTGACGCCGCCATGTTGAAAACAACGTTAACTCTTTATCCTAACTACGTCTGCTCTGCTTTGTTGATTGCAAAGTCCAGAGGTTACACAACAAGATTTAAAATGGCCGCCATCAGAAGCGAATTTTTGGCGCATTTCGCGGGTCAGTGTCGTAATTTCATCATTAATGGAGATAAATGTAATGCAGTTTCGGAAGCACACTTCCTTTAGTCGGGTGTCGTTTAGTTACAGGGTTTGAACTGATTACCATTCAGTTTAGTTTAGTTTTAGTTGCGCTTAGTTCAGTTCAATCTCTACAGACGTAACGCCATGCGTAACGCAAGGTGACTACAAGAGCGTGACCTTCAGCGTTGCGTGATACTCAAGAATACAAGAACATGAGTAAAAACACTGATTTATGGCAAGCATGTTATACACTGGATATATCAGAAACCAGTTTTAGTCAAAGTTTTATCCAAATTTTTCTGGAGACGCCTTTCAGGAGCCCGCGTTGTAAAATTCCCATGGGGTCATAGTTGTGTCTACTTACAAAGCATCTGGAGGAAACATGTAAGTCATTTGACCTGATAGTAATCGCTTTATTTATCAAATGTTCATTCAACAGTGGTGGTACTGGCGGCGAAATAGCGAATGGCATCCATAGATAATGTTGATCTGAAAGTTAACCGGCTTAATAGAGGGGGAAAAACACGTCTCCTTGGTGGACACCTATCCTATACATGAAATTTTGTTTCATTTTTTTTTAGCTCAGTAGAGAAAAGATGTCCTCCAACTGACACTCTCCTTTGTTGTTACTTAGTATTCTATTTAGCAAATTTTTTTTTTTTTTTCTTAGTTCAGTCTTCCAAAAATCACAAATATGGGAGCAATGTAACGTAAACCCCGCAAAATATTTCACGTCATGGGAAGGCTATGCGAAAAGTACTGACAGAGAGCTCAAAACAGTTGGGCTTTGGGCGATGAACGGTGAACAATGGAACCTAAAATTCTTTGGCGTGCGATTCGTACACTGGAATATCATTCTATTCATATACAGTAAAATTTCAATTGTTCAATAGCTAAAACCCCACACAGTGTACCTGCTGAATGATGTAGATAACGCGTTCTAACTTTTAATGACTTTCTAGGGGCGATTATAAAAGAGTATAAACTAAGATAACAAGATTACCTGTTCAAGCCTCGAACTCGCATCATCTTTAGTGTGGGATATATGATATGTAAAAAAATCTCATACGGAACACGGGGGTGGGAATATTTCAGGCAGGTACAGAAAGCACATGGTTGATGCCCCGAGGCACATCTATAATATGATGCCCCTTCTTGCTGAAGAAGAAATAATACATTGTGGATGAAACGGGTGACCTAACCCCCTTCAATATTTTTGAAATTAGAAGCTAGGGCCTTTTCTCAATTTTGCGAGAGGGGGTCAAAGCTCTCTTTCATAGAGTACTTATCTCCACGTGTATTGGACCTCTTTGTATTGTTTCTGCTAAAAGTCATGTTGATCAGTTACAGCTTTGCAAATCGGTGAATAATTACAAAGTTGCAAGGTGTACGTATTTTTTGAGGTGTGCAATATTTTAATATTTATGAAGTTGGTTCGAGTGAGGTAACGGTATTGGTCAATATTTTTACGCACCAAAAATAACCTGTTCTGAAACCGAAAAATTCCATCTTTAAGCTTCAACTGCGTTGCATTTAAATGATGAAATTGATGATGGAACTTAGAGTTTTAAGAAGGAGTACTTTTTTAGTGAATAACTGTGTAATATTACATCCGCATCCATCCGCCTACGAGAAGCATTATGAAGTGCCCATCATTCCTAGCGTATTTTATTTAGTGCCCGGCCCGCCGTGACACATCACCAAAGTTGCTGTCCCGCCGTCAGGCTTAGAGGATATTATACTCTTTGAGTAAGCTTCGCTTTGGACGGGAAATAGACTGTTCCCTAAAAGGCAGGTATCCAATTGATAATACCAGTTATCCTTGTTATAACCTTCTGTTATGAGGAGAAGTTTTGATTTCAGCCTGCAGGCAAGTTTGATAAGCTCATCAAGAATATGGACGCGTATTGTAGGCAGCCAAGGAGACATCGCTAGTACAACAAGAACGAGATTTTCGATAAGAGTCGTTAACAGCTCGCTTCAAGGTGCCAAAAAAACACTTGTTATCGCCTGTTGTATGAAATATTTCGATTAAGGTACTCCGGTGGTTTTCTTTTCATTATTTCCTTGTTTATATGCCAACAAACCTGAAGGCTGCGATATAAGCGTTTCTGTGTTTAGGAATGCGTGTAATGTAGTCACTCATATTTCCGGGCATTAGACTCTCGATTTAAATGCTACGGAGTAAGGCGCATCCTAATCGATCACTCTAAGGTAAGGCCATTAGACGCTTTTCGTAAAGGTTCATTAACTTTTTAATTTGAGGCAAACGAATGGGGGATTTAAAGCTCGCTGCATGGGATATTTTGTGAGCAATTTACCGTTTCAATTTGATCTTCAACATTTAGTGCTGTCTGTTTCAAGAATTTAATTTCTTGTGGATGATCCGTAGGTTTCTTCGCTCCATTCTGGCGAGGAAGGTTAAAATTTGACGTAATTGAATTCTTATTTATTGTAAATGAATGCGTGGGAATATTGAGTTATTTCTCCCACGGCAGGAATAGTTACTCTATTGCGGTCACAGGTCATTTAAAACGCTGGCTCTTCATAATGATACTGACTAATCAAAACAGACGAAAGGTCATCTACCAAGTCAGATCAATACCAGTGCTATTCAAAAGACGATATAAACAAAACTACAGTGTAATTTTTTAAAATAAAAAACTCGTACTTAAAAGTGATTACAATAATTATTAAGTGCCTCATTACTTACGCTTGGGCCAAATGTAAATGCTGGCTAATTATAAATAGGTAGTTTTGACTTTCATTTTACAAAATTTAACGATGTGAGGCAGTTTTTTACAGCCTTTCTTTCCGTAATAAGCCTTTACACTGGAAATAAAATTATAGCAAGTCAGATTTGTAAACTGTTCATGTAATGTATGCGCGACCAGCACTTATCATTAGAACTAGAATTTGTGAACCTTTTAATTTAAAGTACAATGTGCATGTCCTCTAAAGGTCACCTAAAGATGTCTGAAAAGATAGAGCCAATTTACCAATTTTCTCATAATTTTCAAACAGTTATCATTAAAGATCCCAAAATATTGCAAAACATCTTCTCTGCAGTGACACAATATAGTACAGAATACAGGGCCATATGCATTTACCATTATATCTTGGTTTCACAATGGTGTCTGTAATTATGTTATCTTTGGTTGGTAGTCTAAATTAACACAAATAAGGTGGATCTCATTGACCTTTTATTTTGTGTGGTTTTTCTGCCTGTTTTTGATTTAATTTGTATCAGTATTTCAGCACATAAACAGATGGAGTAAAAAGTTTCTGGCACCCACAAATATTAGATACCTGCTTCTTGCTTTCAAGTAATAAATATTATCATTTAGTTAAAGTGAAAGTTCTAAGAGAGGGAGGTCCACAGTGTACTTGTGAGTGATAGCTTGGAAAACTTCCTAAAGTTCTAGACTGGACTTTGTGCCTTCTGTGGAAATATAATTCACTGTTTTCCTTTATGTTTATTTTTCAATAATAGGGACAGTTTTTGCTTGTGCATACAAGTGTCTTGAGTGATGCATTTGGAGCTGTAAGGAAAAAGAAAATGTCTACTGCTGAGTCAGAACAGGATAAACAGCCTTTTAGTGCTATTAATGATGCAGTTCCTTCTGGAAAAGATGAATCAGGTGATCCACCCACAGAAGTGACAAAGAGTACATTTGAAACAGAAACCAAGCCTGTTGACTCAACTGTCACTGAAGCAGAGTCAGCAAAGAATGGTGATGAAGAAAAAACAGAAACTGAAGCACAGAACCCTGAAGTTGTTATTAATGGTGATTTGAGTAAAAGCCATGAAAATGTCTCATCTTTAACTAACGAATCAAATGAAACTAATCAAAAATCTACACAAATCAAAGAGGTTGTCAATGGGGTAGAAACTGGTGATGAAAATTGCACAACAAAGGATGTAAAGAATGAAGGGAAACCTGCGGAGACAACTGAACTTGATAAAGGCCAAGAAAAAGTTGAGAATGTTCCAGTGAAAGTGGAAGATGCTGTTCCTGAGAGTAAAAGAGAAGAAGAAGCTGGAGTTAAAGAAAGTGTGGAACAAAATGAAAATCAGCCTTCAGAAGAAAGCACTGTTGCTGTAACAGGTAAAAGCTTATGTTAGTATATTCACCTAATTGCAATACCATTGTCATATGAAAAGTAAAGCAAAAGAATGAAGACAGGCCAAATAGGAAATGTATTAATGTATAAAACTACCCTTTGGCTTAATGCACAGCAGCTGAACAATTTTCACAGAATTTTCCCAAAAAACTTCATCAAACTTTGTGAGAGATGAGGTGTTATTTCAAGATTACAAGTGATTCCAAAAATTAAAAAAGAGAAATTCCAGAGTATGTATATTTATGTTGGCATTTTTCCCTTTTTTCCTTTTTCTATGACAATGTAACTACAATTAGGTGCCTGGCATACCTTTTACATGTATTAGCATGTATTAGTATGATCAGTTGCCTCAATCCTTTGCCCCCAAAGAGTGACTAGAAGAATCTGTTTTCTCCTAACAATATTAACCCTGAATTACTCTTTAAGATCAGGAGAATAAAGGAATGATCACCAGTTAAAGAAACTCTTGATTGTTAATAAAACAAATTCTGCTTGCCAGCAGCTTAGGAAGTGCCATTATGTGTTTCAAGTGAATCTTGAGTGTATATCACTTTGAGAACTCTTTTTCATACTACCCGCATTTTTTTAAAGAACTTGGTTAAGTCAGAGGGTATCCAAGGATTTCCAGAGATGATCTAAATATTTCCAAAAGACACTCTAAATATTTTCATAGGTGTTTGCAGTGCTCTATCTTTCATAACCAAAGGTTTTGAGGAATTTACAATCAGTTGCCCCTGGGTTTGAAAAAACTTTGTTTCCTTCATACTTTATCAGCTTTATGTTGTGTTCTATATTTTCCCAAAATTTGTCAGTTTAGATTGTGATTGCAAAAATTTGTCTGCAAACCATGAGACATTGGTTAGCAGGTGTAAGCTGGGGAGGGATTGGAGTTTTCAATAATGAGGCTCGTCATGCCCAAGGTGTAAGAGGTGACAAGTACACCCACAGATAAAAGTATCTCAGTTGCAAATATATATAATTATATAGTTGTACATTGTAACACAGGGCAGAAGGTACAAGAGTTTCTGTTAGTATGTACTGTAGATGTACACAACTGCATGAGCTTCCTCTTGCTTTCCTCAGTAAATAAACAAATAGAGATTTATATGTGGGTGTGCGCAGATATGTAATTTTTCTTGGAGTGTTCAACTCAATGCCCTCTTTAGTGAGATATGGACAGGCAACCATGTATTATTTTTTTTAGTAGATAAACACCATAGAACTTTCCTGACAAGAAAATTTGATAAATGACTTTGGATTGAGAATGGTGAACTCTTCATCAATCATTCATTAATCTGATAGAGTGGTGTGAAACACTGCAGCTTATATCATTAATATTTTTAACTTACATATATATTGGATGTACAGTACACGTGTTAAACTGAATAGAAGATTGTGTCTTTTTGTAAGACCAAGAGGGTGCTGACAGGAAAAGAGCCGTGACCATTGACAATCCAAGTGATATGAAGGAACTGACTGAAAAGAGTGGGGAGTCCACAAAAGATGATACAAATAAGTTATCTGTTCAAGAAAGGTCAAGAACTCTGGGAGATATTGAGGGAAGTGCTTCAACACCTTTAAAGGTTAGAAATTATTTACCCATAAACTGTTCTCTTTATCACCATCTGTACATTTCTGGCCCCAGTTGTTTTACTCATTCACGCCACATCTAAACAACAATCCTAAGAACATAGCAAATGCAAGCAACTTAAAGAAACATTTGTTCAAGAGATTCCCAAACATCAATTCAAGTAGCAAACACTTTGGTGTTACAAGGACATTTTAAGATACCTTTTTAGCCTAACTTTTGCTAATTAGCTATTAAAAATATTTTCAACTCTACACATACTTGACTTCTCATGTTGATGTTTTTTTACATTGTATAATTAACTATAAATAGACCCTTTTTCTTTCTTTTCTTTAAACTACGGTACTAGGTCCACCAGTAACTGTGATAGCCATTAAAGTCTATTTATTTGTTTATTGTTTTGTCACTCTGAGAAGTATGCATCAACAGGCTATGAAGGGTTTAACATGCACTGTCAGCCTTTCAGAGCATTTCTTAGAGTGTTATAGTACTAACTCTTGAGAATTAGGTATTAACCCAGTGACATATCTCAGCTTAAATTTTTCTTTATTCTTGTTACCTGTTTGTTTGACTTTGTGTCAAAAGAGGAAATAATATATTGCTCACTTCTCATAGTTAAAGGATCAAATGAATGCTTTTTTTTTATTGTGGTTAGGAGGATGTTGCTGCACGATCACAAACAGTCTGGTATACTGATAAAGTGGAAACCAATGGATCAAACACAGAATGTGATTCAGCTGAGGAGGCAGTTAGTTATTCCACTAGTATTGTAGGAGGAGCAGTTGTTAAAACCCCAATCCAGTCAAAGTAAGTGTGAAGTAAAAAATTTGTGAAAAAAGGCATTTGCATTTACTGTAAACACTCCCACCGGTACATGTAAGTCCTCCTCTTTCTCTAGTAAAACCCTCTCTCCCCCTAATCAAGAACCCTGTTGTAAAAGTAGGTTGGTAGAGTTGTGGTGCAATTTATACTGAAAAAAATGCATGCTGTACATAGTGTGCATTAACTTTTGGCTACAATTCAACAGAGAAATAGTAACTCGCATTTTAAATCCTCAGACAGTATTTTATAATCATAACCTTAAGTAGGATTTTAAGTTTGTAAATAGTGTCTTGTAACCCATTTAGTGGGTTAAAACTTTGTTTGTGGAGTGCAAGTCATGTCCTCAATCTGTGAATTTGATGCTTGCAGAAGCTAGCAAGTCTTGGTTAGAGTAAATTATGTCTTTTGGGTTAGAGTGGTTTTTTAAATTTTGTTAACCAAAAAATAGACTACACTATACCTGTACAATCTGAAGAACAAACAATTGCTGGTAAAACTCCACTCAGAATAAATATATAAATATAATATACTTGGCTAAATGATCTGATGAAAGAGGAAGTACTATTTACATGTAAGCGTTTGGCCTGCCCTAGTAACTTGGCCTAATTTTCACTCAGTTTGACAAGAAAAGACAAAACATAGAACCAAACGGGCACTTAGAAACACATTCATAGTGAACGAATAGCTAAATGTAAATAGATTAAGAAAGATGGTAAGTTTTGAGCTCGGTGAAGAAATAAAGGAAGATTTTTTTTTCGTCTTGTCACGAGCGTGGGACAAAGAAAAAATTCTGACTCTCCATGAGGAATCCAACCTTAGACCTTTTAGATTCCGTGCTCCGATGCTCTACCACTGAGTGGTGAGCAAGGCCTATTACGAAGTTCATCAGCCAAATGTGCCAAATTCGAACTAACTTCACGAATTTTTTTTCAGCTCGCCAAAAACCCAACACAAGAAGAGGGAAGGAAGTCCTCAGCTCACTTCACCAAAGAAGAGATCAGTCATAGATTCCCTATTTAGACGACGAAAGAAGTCCAAAGGTGATCCGGAGAGCCCCCTCGGGACCGCACCCAATGACAAAGACCCTGCATCTAGTCCTGGTGGTGCTGATGCAGATGCTTCAAAGGACGGTAATGGGTCATTAGAGACAAAGGAAGAGACAGGAGGTGCTCAAAACGTTGATATCAACCAGGGGGCAGAAGGAGATGTCAAATCTGCCGTGGTGGAAGAGGATGAAGATAGCCATGCTACACCACATCACTCTGAACCAGCGGAAGCAACTACTGTGGTAGAGAAGGAAGAAAGTAATGATGGTGTCAATGAAAAAGAAGTTGAAACCACCAAGGAATCGGAGGTAGAGGAAAATCAGGTAGAGTCGCAGGATGCGCAAGAAGTGTCAACACCTGTGGAAGATGCGGAGGACAATGATGAGACAAACCCTGAAGCCCCCGAGGATAAAGAGCCAGAGGAGTCAGAGGAAATAAAAGACGCTGTCAAGAGAGCTCACACTGACAATCCTGGGGAAGAGGAAACAAGTCCGCCACCTGCAGCAAAGAAAAAGAAAACCATTTTTGGTGGTATCTTTACGAGGCGCAAGAGTAAGAAATTAAAAGGTGAAGACACTAGTTCTCCTGATGAGGCACAAGAGGAGAAAGATGATAAACCAGAGGAGGAGCCTCAAACTGTGGATGATAATACACCGCCAGCTGAAGGAGAAGGAGTAGAGACGCCAGATGATGGAAAAGACCAGTCTCCTCCAACTGAAACGGACGAGGGCACTGCTACCGCACAGCAAGAGGTAACAGTGGATGTGATTACTCCAGCTGTAGATCAAGCTTTAGAAAGTGCTCAAGCGGAGGCAGTAACTGAGGACAAAGATGATGAAAAGACTGAGGAAAAAGAGGAGGATGCTGCTGAGGCGGAGGAGCCAAGTACCAAAGAAGATAATGCACCTGAAAGTAACAAGAAATCTTCAGAGGAATCTTTGCAGTCTGAGGGTGCTGAGACCAAGGTCAAAATAGAGGAGAGAGTGGAGAAACATGTGACTACTCAAGAAAGCCAACCTAAAAAAAAGACTTCCCTTTTTGGTGGGTTTTTGACTCGGCGGAAGAGCAAGAAAACGAAAGGTGTCGATGACGACCCTGCCGTCGAAACATCACAACAAGAGGATGATAAGGTACAAGAGGATCAAGGGGAAACCACGTCGACCCAACCTGCTGATGATGCCAAACCAGATAGTGCTGAAGTCAAAGAGACGTCAGAGAATGAGCAAGGACAAATTCCGACACCAGACTCAAGTGATACCACTCCTACTGCAGAGAAAGAAGTTGTAGAACCTGTGATAAGTCCCGCAGCAGATGAACCGGTGGAAAGTACAAACGAAGAAGGTGCTGAGGCTAATAAAGATGATGGTAATGTTGACGCACAGGAGACAAAAGGTGTTGAGATGCAAACTGGAACATCAGCAGATGACGAGAAATCTCCAGAAGATGTAGTACAACCTAAAGAGGCCGAAGCTGTTGATGGGAAGAAGGAAACAGAGGAAAAGGCTGTCACGATTCAAGAAAATCAACCAGAGAAGAAGAAATCGATTCTTGGTGGCCTTTTTTCCCGGCGTAAGAGCAAGAAATTAAAAGATGATAGTTCGAGCCCATCTGACGAAAAAATGCACGAGAGCGACAGCGACAAAGTAGAAGAACACAAAGATGACGGTGCGTCAACACTACCTGCAGTTGACACCTCACCCCACGCAGAGGAAGAAGGGAAGACAGTGGAGAGCGAGACAGAGCAAAATGCGGCGCCCGAAGCAAGTGACGCCATTGTTGCTACCCAGAATGAAGTAGCGGAAGATATGATCAGTCCTACAGCAGATCAAGCTATAGAAAGTGCCCCGGAAGAGGCTACAGAGAAGGAGAAAGTTCATGAAGAGAGTGAAGGACAGGAATCAGTGGCGGCAGAAGAGAGTGAGGCGAGTAATAAAGAAGTGGAAGCTGTAGTGGCTGTGGAGGTTCAGAAATCTGCAGAAAGTGAGAGTGGAGTAGAAAATGATAAAGCTACTGTAGACGGTAAGGAAATTGGTGATGGATTCTTGTAGTATACTTTTCCGTCACCAATTTATGATGATAAAATCCTATTATATTATATACACTTTGTTGCGTCAGGTTTACTGAAATCAACCTGGGGTACATACGTTAGTTTCATACAGCGGATACCTTTCTTTTGCAGCTTCAACCGAGCCCACAGTAGAAAAGCTGACTTCGCCCGAAGGGGAAGAAGCCCAGGACAACGCAGATGCAGCATCAAAGGAGCGAGAGGCACTCATGAAAGGTTCATACAGCCCTAAGACCCGCCGCATGCAGATGAGGATAAGTTATGCTGAGACAGTTGGAGAAAGTAAGCGATCGTTTACTGTCCTGGGTTTGTTAAGTCTGAACACCCTTACATCAGTATTCATATTCTCCTTACTGTTAACTCTCTAAGTCCTAACGTGCCGACAAGCAGAATTTGTTCAGCAATCTAGAGCCTCTAAAGTTGATGATCATTTTCTTTTTTCTCGCGACGTTAATCCTTGATTCAGGGGTGATATTGTAAGGAGAAATTAGATGCTTATCACTGTAAGGGGTCAAAGGGTTAAGGATGCAACAAATGATTTCAGATGTAAATTCTCTGAAGCGATTTTTTCACTTTTTGGTGAATCTGTGAATGGTTTTACTTCGTTTGGTTAACCTATGCCAGTAAACACGTGGTTATACAATATATTACATCCATTTTTAAATCACAGGTGATCCTCGCGATCTGATTGGCTTCCAGCAGTGCGGTTTATCCACAAATCGTACTTCCTTTTTACCCTTAAGTGCATCTTTCCTAATAAATAAGTACTAGCAAAAAAAAATAGCTAATCACTTTTCAAGGCTTGTTTCAAGTGACCAATCAAATTATAGGAGAATAAAAGACTTAGAAGCTATTTGTGGCGAATTTTGCAACGTTTGTCCTCAAAAGATTTTTTTTTGTCCAAAAAATGGATGAATTTAATTTCTTACAGTTTTTGATCAACGACAGTTTCACCATTTCTAAAGGGTGCAATAAAGCAATAACGCAATTTTGGGCCGAAATTATACTTTTAATTTCAAATCAAACTCGCAGTTCGCGCTCGTTCGATTTTAAAACTACACGTATCATTTCAGACCAAATTGTACTTCAGTCAGTTCAATTACCATCATGAAAACATGCACGTGGACATCATAACCAATGTATTTTCAATGGTAGGGTTTTCTTGTCTTATTTATTGGACGCGTGTGATTATGTTTAGCCTCCGGACTGGGTTCCATAACACAAGGGTCTTACTGATGATTTTCACTGTTGTGTGCCCTAACAGGTGGTCGAGAGGTCGAGCTAATTGGTACACCAGAACGAGATGCTGAATCTCCTATTCAGAATAATAAAACACCTCCAGACCAGCGGGTATCGTGCCGGGCTCTTGGAGAAGTTGACCACGAAGGATGGTTGGCAAAGAAAGGTAAGAGAAATACTGAAGCAAAACTCCTAGTCGTGTCACGTAAGATAAGCTAAAGCGATGTTGGTCAGTAGGCTTTAAAACTAACTTTACTTTTACTTCTAATCTTACCTAATAGAAGAGAGAGAAAGGGACTCGAGGAAAACTTATGGAATAACCCGATACTACAAACTAGTCAATACCAGAGTATTATTAATTGTAAACAGCAGCCAGTTGAAGCGCTCACCTCCTACTTCTTCTTCCTCTTTGGTATTCTCTTTATTTTCTTGCTCAGTCAGGTGGGGCGGGAATTGATTAATGAAGGGTTAATGAAGGGTGCGATCAGAAATTTGCGCTTCAGGGTTAAAACGCGCTGTGCGTCGCGTCGCGCAATTTTTCCTCTTGGACGCCCTTTCCAACATTTGCCGCACCATACTTAAACGCCTCTTACGCTAGCCATGGTCCCCGAATGGAAATGTTACTGGTGGACTTTTAGTAGAACGTGTTTGTTGTAAATCGGCTGTTACTTGCCTTTATGATAGCTTAAACTGTTTTATCTTGAAAGTGATGTTAGGAATTACCTGCAACAATTTTCTTTTTATAAAATCTTAGCTAGAAAACAGGTAATTCTAGTCAGGGGTCTCATTACCATCAAATTTTTGTAGGAGGTCCTCTCTTCTTCTCGAGCTGGAAGCGTAAATGGGTGGTGTTGAAGGACGGGAAAATGTATTACTTCAAAACTTCTTTCGACCCTGAGGCCAGTGGAATTATAAACATGCAGGGAACAACTGTGGCTCCAGCCCCTGAAACTAAAAAGAGCTTGTAAGTATGCATACTCAGGAAAACACCCCGTGCGTGTATGCGCACACTGGAGGTCGGTTTTTGCGATTAATGTCGTAGAACAGAGCTGACTGAAACATCGATAGGATTCGTATCAGTCACTTGATCTGAAGGCCCACGAACTGGTAGTTAAGAAAACGAAACTATATTTGGCTTCTGTCGGCGACGTTTATGCAAACCTTTGATGATAGTTTTTTGATTGCATTATGCCTTAACAGATCAAACAAAAGGATTTCTGATTTTTTTTAAATTGTAATTAATTTTTTTCTTTTATTACCTAACATTTGTCAGATAAAATCTATTTTCGAGTCGATGCTTCTCTGGCAAAGAAATCACGTTTAAAGATTTTCGTGTTTGTTTGCTTGTTTCTATTTTAAAAAGTTAGTTGATCAGTCAGTGAGCCGTCAGCGTGCCGTGTAGGCAGTCCATTAGTTGGTCACCCGTTGGTTTTGATGAGTTACTGCATGCCCCCCCCCCCCCCAAAAAAAAAAAACTACTTTGGTTGAGTTGTTCAGGGATATTTGGTTCATTAGAAGTCATTACTTTTACAGGTGTATTTCATTTTTTTACAACTTTGCACACAAATGCTTCTTCCTTCCAGTTGTTTCAAATGTGAGCAGCCGGGTCCCAAACCTCACGTGTTCCTGTTTATGGCAGAGAGTAAAGAAGACATGGAAAGATGGCTGTCTGTGTTGACGGCTGCTTCAAAAGGAGAAGCCATACCAAAAACTAAGCAGCATCTGGCGGTCAAGGAGGAAGCAGTCATGCGCAAGAAGTCAGGATCAATCAGTTCAGCGCAGAGAACGAGTTCTGTACTTGGTTAGTATTGGACAGAAAGAAAGTGATGAATAGTGTGGATCAATGTTAGTATCTGAGAAACTGCGCATCTACCCTCCCCTAGGGTTAGGGAGATATGATATGAGATATGATAATGATAATGGTAACTGAGAATGACGATAATGATGATGATGTTAATAATAGTGATGAAGATAACCATTCCGTTTAAGAAGTTACTTTTGTATCAAAACATCGTTTGTTCAGGTTTACAAAAGTAATCACAGGGGCCAGTGAAAATGAAGGAAACTATCACAAATCTTGAGCCAATAAGAACACAAAATAAATTGTGGTTAATGATCTTAAATGCGCCAAAAACACAATCGGCAGGCGCTGCTTAGGACAGCAATGAGCTGCGCAGTCCTCAAATTACAGTGAATAAGGCTGTTCGAAGCTTGAGTACGTAAAACACAGAGTTTAGTTTCATCTTTTCTTGCTTGACGTTTTGCTTTAAATGATATCATAAGGTAAATTTTAATATCCCTCTTATACTCTCATTCTAAAAAGATTGTTTACCTGAAGCAGATGTGATAAATTCATATTTATATAATCGAAATAATTTTTGTCGTTTAGTTTAAAATAAATCCTTTTCTGATCTTACTTTGCAGCTTATGGAGGGCGTCATAGCCTGATAGTAGACGAAGAAGACTCAAACGCTCTCAGGGGGAGGTCTAATCCAGGCTCTTTCTCAAAAGTACCGCAAGTGACAGAGACAGAGGAGAAAAAGGACACAAACTCTGAACCTGTTGAAACAGAGCCGATACAGAATGGCACGGAGCCAGTTACCGAACTCTCAGAGGACAAGCAAAAAGACACGAGCGAAAGTGGAGAAAGTCAATCAACTGAAAAACCAGAAGCTTCCGCGGACGAAGTAGTGGTAAGTGGCGAGCAGGTAGTCTTAGAGTCTGCACCACCTATTGAAGTGTCTCCTGAAAAAGACACACCGCCCGCGAAGGGATTGGGCGATGCTGCCTCGACTGAAGCTTCGCCTGAAGAGGAGAAGCGAGACGAAGAAGCCGTTGACGCATCGGAGAAGAAAGAACCTGAGGGTACTCAACCCGAACAAGAATCAGTGGGATCAGCAGTTGACACAACGGACGGGGACAGTAGCGTTATTACGACAGAGAGCTCCGTTACTGTAATAGAGACAGTAAAAACAACCTCAGTAGTCTCCGAGAAAGTTGAAACTGTAGTGTCAGTGATTAAAACAGAGGGAGCAGAAGTTACTCATTCTGAGCATCAAACGGAAACAGTAGAGGTGAAGCAGGAGATCATGGAAGATGTCTTTGAAACTAGCCCGACGGAACCTGACGCCAGCGAACCAGAGTCCCCATCAAGCACCAAATGGTACTTCACTTTGAACAGGCAGGAAACATGGTCTGTAGCAACCGAGACTGAAGAAAAGAAACCTCCGGTACGCATCAAGTCTTCCAGCTCGGCTAGCGACAAAGGATCGATTAGGAGCGACAGAGCATCGATCAAGAGCGACCAAGGGTCAGTCAAGTCTTCTTCGGAAGATGATCAGCTTTTGGCCATGTGTCGAAATATAAAAAAAGCGCGACTGTCGATAGTAGGCGACCCGATGAGGGAGGGTCCGGACAGACTTCGGGCGTGGTCAACTGTGAAGGATAATTCAGAGGAACAGCAATTTGTCAGACTCAAGACGTTGGAAAGAACTCTCAAGGTGGGTTTCAATATTTGTAATCTTCTCTAATAACCCTTTAACTTTCCAATCTGATTCGTACTATTTTTGTGCCTGCCATAAATCTTCTTGTGCTTAAGGACTTTTTCTTTTTCGTGGCGTGTTTTCTGGTTAATTTATTGGTATTGAAAGGAATCGCGTGTCAATGACTTACAAGAATAAAAGGGTCAAACAAATGTAAGACCCAGCTGAGGTGTTATATTCATTTGAAATTCCACCCAGAAACGATGACAGTAGAGTGATTTTTTTGGCGTTAACTCTTATTCCTTAAGAGTTAGAAAATGCGCGGCGACGTTTTTGAGTATATATATATATATATATGCAAACGTGAAAAAATAATTCCAAGTCAGCGTGTAGAGTGGTATGTTGCCAGCACCAATCAGATCGCCCCATTTCTTGTAGGACAGAAAAAAAGAAAAGCAAACTCAGCCCAGACGATTTATTGATTCAATGTGAAGCTCTTTTTCCTTTTTTTTTCTTGTAGGACAAAGAAAAGTATCTCTCAGAGCTTGAAGAGTTATTGACCCAACCGGAAATAAACCGAGACTCCATATACGCATGGAAGCTACGCTATTCAGATTTGGTAGAAGAGCTGTTCCCTATGGAGAATGAAGAAGATGGAGGGGAGAAGGCCAAAGATACTGAGAGTGGAGCGGAGGGTGAAACGGAAGAGCCAAAGAAGGAAGATGATGAAGTAAAACCTATAGATGTGGAAGAAATAGAGAAGGTGGTTAAGGAAGGAGAAGGAAAGAAATCAGAAGAAGAAGCCGTCACTTGCTCGGAGAAAAACCAAGAAAATGTGGATTCGAAAAAAGAGTCTTGTGAGGGAGAACAAGAGCAACAGTCGAGCGATGGACGGGAGGACACAGAAGACAATGAAAATGACAGTGAGAGAGCTAGCGTCCATCAAACTGAAGTTAAAGGTGCACTGCTTTCAGACTCGGAACAAAAATTGAATGAAGCAGGAACTGAACAGGAAAAGCTGCACCAAGAGAAAGAGATTTCAACCGAAGGGAAGCCCTCTGACGGTAAAGAAGAAGCCGGAGAAAAAAAGAGTAACAGAGCAACGGATGATACTCATCTTTGATTCGAGAGAAGAGGCAACACCACAGGACAATGTCAGTGTAGGTGGTGCGAAAAGGTAACCGTGTCAAACAATGGAGAGGAGTCAACGAACTTCTCACATTTAGGCAATTAATAATCCCAGCGTCATATTTATGTTAGATGGGAAAAATCGAGAGAATTACAAGAGGGCTCATAATAATGAGAATTAAGGAACATTATTCAGACGGCTCAGAATTTCATACTAATCTTGCGCAGCTCTTATTTCAAGAGCTTATCCTTATTCATTCCTTGAAATTACTTAAATGGCGATCATTTAGTTAATTATTAAGTTGCCTGCACTTCAAGCCGTGAGAAAAGTTTTTTTCGATTGGCCTAAAATTGTTGCAATAACTGTGAAACTCAGAACATCGTGTACAACAGAATGATCAGAGAGTGTTTAAATTACTCTTCAAAGCAAAAGTCAGTCGCAAGAAAAATATTCCGCAATCAGAAATTATTCCCAATTGATAGAATTGAAGCTTTCTTACGTTTACTGAATTTTAATTGCGATCGAATCAAATCGTCCGTGTGCACGGTTTTCTGAGTTTCGCACGAAGCACGCAATTAACGATACTGTTTAATAAGCATCACGCAATCGATGATTGCGTGACGGTAATGATTCATGAAAGCTCCTCTATCTAAGTCGTGTTCGCCACCTTTCAATGAGTCGTTGTTGACTCAAAATCTATGCTGTTACTTTAATTTTCACAATATGTGAATGGCAGAGCTCAGGTGAATTTTATATTATGGCGCTGAAGCAAATCTTGTAGCATATCAATTCAAATTATTTTATACGACATAAATGGAATCTAATTAAGAGAGGTTGGCTAACGTTTTGAGTGCCTTGTAGGCGCAAAGTTTTTCTGCTGATGTGACAAAATTTGTGCGCTTCTTTTGACTAAAAAAGAGAAAAAACAATACGGGATTTGAAAAGTGAAACCTCTTGGAAAAGGTTCCAGTATAAGGGTTAAAAAAAAAATGAGAATTGAATATTATTAAAATTATGGCATTAAAGGCTGCATTCCATGTTGGGTCACAGTATTTCTATCCTAACATGGTCACTGGTAGAGTTTATATTATACTTTTAGTTGTTGTTGATTTTTTTTTTCTTTCATTTTCAAAATGACCGTTCAATTTTACGAGACGATCAACCTTCATGTATACCAAATGCTATGTTTATGTTCTCGGTGAAATGCTTTTGCCACCTTTTCGAGGGATAGAACTGAAAACTCAGATGCCGCAATGACTGAAATAAGAAAAGAGTTCTCAGCGAAAAAAACGCATCCTTTTGCCTCAGTAGTTACCAAGTGGCCTAAATGAGAATTTCTCAAGAGGGAAAAAAAAGCGAGCTTCCGAGAACTGAATATATCTTACTTCTTTTTCGTACTCAAATCGACATGTACGTATCCAACTGAATTAAAGAACAAAATGGTCATTATTTACCTACAATAGCGTTGCGAGTGTGGTAGTTCATACACTAGATTAAGCTTGGATTATACAAACTGCAACAAACCCACCTCATCGTATTTTATATGCGTGAGTTAAGACTTTTTTATTAAAAGTCAGCTTAGGTGTGTCACCTCTTAAATGGTACCGACAGTTGTGTTAATTCAATAAAGAAAGAAATATTTAGCATCGCAATTTCACTATCGGCTTTTTCACTAAGTTTTCTTCCTCTTTATCCTCCATTGTTCCACAATATACCTTCACAAGCCAATTGAAAAAACTGAATTTAAAAAAGAAATATCGAAATTAAGCTTTTCGCCCGTACAAGAAGTTATTGCTGCAGCAAACACTGCTTTTTATGAAGGCTATTTCAACCTAGTTCAAGTTGTAAGCAGGGGATTTACAGTGTTCACGAGAAGCCTTTTTTTGTTTGTAGACCCTTACACTAAACATTGCCGTTACACTAGATAACACACCTAGTGTTATGCTATTATGGAACATTTCTACGTATACTGAAGTATTTGTATCACTTTGCGGGGAAAAAATCAACACTTGGTAAAAAAGCGGTGTGCACGAAAGGAGAAGCCGCATTTGAACGTTTTTTGTTTGCTCAAACAGTTAATCAATAAATCAAATGGCAAGAACTCCAAGGAAAGTTTGCTCTTGATCATTTCAGGCTTGAAATGACAAGATAATGTTGCATTGCCGAGAAACTTATTACCCGGGAGTCATGATATGTCAAATTGCGTCCACGTGGTAGATGTGCGGATCGCGTGACTGTTCCCTGGTTTGCGTAATTATTCCTTTTTGCGTGACCACTTTCAGGTCGACATGGTTAACCTCGTTTCAGAGTTGAGGTTGAGCGGCAAGGAGAGATGATCTTTGGAACGAGGTTGTCCCGTGCTTAGTGCCTGACTGGTACTTGTGATAGAATTCAAGAGAGCAGGTGAGTCATACACGATCTCACAATGGAGTCATGTGCATAATAAAAATCACGAGACTCCACCTCTGGCAAAATCTCTAAACTAGCGCTTCTTCGCGACAAGATTTTAAAATGGATGTTTCAACTCTGATACAAAACCTTAAGCAAGAATTAACCTGCCCGGTGTGTATTCATCTTTATAAAGAACCCAAACAGTTGCCATGTTTACATATTTTTTGCCTTGAATGCCTGAACGGCTTGGTAAACTCGAATGCTCATCAAGGCCAGATTAAATGTCCTCTCTGCCAGATTGAAGTCGCCGTACCCGATTGTGGCACAATGGAAACTCTGCCAGACTGTTTTTACTTGAAAAATCTACTGGATCTTTTGGTCATCAAAGAATGCAACACATCGGAGGTGACTTGTGGAAACTGCGACAAGAAAAGCGACGAAGTGTCTTACTGTTTTCACTGTAGCAAGTTTTGGTGCAAAGGCTGTTTAAATGGTCATGACATTTTGAAGGAAAACAAAGAACACCGTGTTATCGCATTAAGAGATTTTAAAGAAGAAGATTTCGAGGATGTTGTAAGGCGACCGGCGTTTTGCCAGGAAGACCTTCACGAGAGGAAAGTTCTCAATTTATATTGTAAAATGTGTCAAGTACCTGTTTGCCAGAATTGTGTAACTCTCCAGCACAGTACACACGATGTAGAACATTTGGAACTAACTGTACAGGCGGTGAAGAACAATATTGATTGTAAACTCGACTCTGTGAAGAAATCATGTCGGAGATTTTCAGATTATATACGAGAACTAGATGAAAAATTTAGTCTGACAGATCGGCGGCGCCAACTTGTCAAAGGAAAGATTCAGGAAACCTTCAAGTCTTTAATCGTCACTCTACAGGAACAAGAACGTGATCTAGTGACCCAACTGGAAGAACAGAGCAACGAAACACAAGAAGACCTCATGAAACACAAACGTGAATTTCAAGAAAAATTGAGCAAGAGCGAGAAAGCGATCGTGCATATTGAACGCCTCGTTGAACGTAGCACAGAAGCAGAACTTGTAACAACGAAAACAGTTATAGATGAGCTTTTTCAGCAACTTGGACAGCCACAAGAGATTCAGCCTCCAGTCATTGAAAAGAAGAGTTTAACCGTCTTCTTGAAAAACCACGAAGTCATTAAAGGACTTCAGAAGTCGGGAATTGGTCACCTATATACCACTACAACTGAAACAGACGTAACGCAGTGTTTGGTTCGTGGTGGTGACGAAGTTACCGCGGGACTGGAGACAAAGTTTGAAGTGATTACGAGAAATTCTGCCGGGGAACAGTTCTACTCCTCTGCGGATGACATTGCTGTTGAAATTATGGGCACACAAAGCAGGAAACCTGTAGCTGAATTAAACGTCGTGAACAAGAATGATGGAAGGTACGAAATTTCATTCATTCCAAGTAAAGCTGGAAAGCATGTGTTATCTGTTGGCATCAACGGAGAAACTATCAGAGATCTTCCTCCCATACACATCAAAGAACGCACTTTCAAGCCTATGGTACATTTTGGAGAACAAAGTATAGATGAAAAAAAATTGAACTCCCCCTGGGGAGTGACTGTAAATAACTCAAACGATATCTTTGTTACCGACATGGACAATAATCGAGTACTAGTGTTCAATGACGAAGGGAACTTCGTCAGATCGTTTGGAGAAAATTTGCTTGAGGAACCAACAGGGATAAGCATTAACAATAATGGTGGGATTTTTGTCGCAAACAGAACAAGTAACAAAATATTGCTTCTTGATCCAGACGGGGATTATGTCTCAACTGTCATCAGTGAAGGCTCACTGAAAGATCCCCGCGGGATATCCCTTGATTCCCAAGGTCACCTTATTGTGTGTGATTCGGGAAATAAGTGCGTTAGAATCGTCTCCGTTCAAGGAGAAGTCTTAAGTACTTTCGGAGAGGGTTGTTTTCGGATGCCTTTTGACTGTGTGTGTTATGAGGACAAAATCTTTGTGTCTGACCGTGAGGGTCACATGATCAAGGTTTACAGTAAGGATGGAAAACTTTCGCATGAATTTGGTGGGCGTGGGACTCGGGACGGGGAACTGTACCACCCTACGGGACTAGCAGTAGACAAAACAGGACACCTCTTGGTCTGTTCCGAACATAGTCATAAGGTACAGATGTTTACTTTCGAGGGCACATTTGTGTCAAAATTTGGTACGTCTGGAAAAGATTTAGGACAACTTGGTCGACCCACTTCTATATCTCTACTCAAAAGCGGTCATATCGTTGTTTGCGAGTTCGGAAACGATCGCTTACAAATTTTTTCGTAAGACTTAAAGAAATGTTTCAGAAACAAATCTCCTGTACCTATTTATTTTTTTCTACTTTTAAATTTGACAGGCATGATCAACCTTTTTTGTAACTTAAACATTTTTATGATATTAGAGATCATTTAATCTAAACCAGGAGATACCGTTCGCTCTGCGTTAAACTAGAACAACGAGGTGCACTTGATGTAAAATAGCATGAATTAAAGTTAAATTGTTTCCTCTTATTCAGTGTTGATTGGTCGTGCGTCTTAGGCGAGATCTTGAGTGACACGCGCGATTCTTGCTTGTACGTGCGAGACTAAATCACTCGCGCCGCGATTTAGCAAGCGCCCGCAAAACGATTAACGTCACGATCAAAGGGTCACAATGGGTTGATGGTTTTTACGGTTAACGGTTAACTTTCTTCCTCTGTGATTAAAAGAAAAAATTTACGGTTTACTATTTTTTTACTACTAACGGTTAAATTTTATGAATTTTTATGCTAGCGGCTAGATTTTTTTGGCTGTTTTACGGCAAACGGTTGACCTCATTGAGACCCTCGATCAATTGTAAAACGTCCTATATCTCCTTCAGGAAGGTCTCAGCTTCTACCGTCAAAAAATTAATTCAATCATGAGATATTCTGTCACCAAAATGAGCTTATTTTCCACGGATTTTTTTCCTGGATCATTTTAAGTTTGAGCGTGAGAAAGTAAATATACTTTGAGCTGAATTTGATGGGCGGTTTAGATTTTATGTTATGGAACTGATCAAACATTGAGGTGAATTTTATTAAAAAAAGGTTAAGATATTACTATATGGAAATTACAAGTTAAGATTCCCTTGATTAATAAAAGATTCAATCGAATAAAATCAGTAAAACATTAAGTTCGCGTGACCAATAACTGGTTCGCGTGATGCGTAGACTAAAAGCAGCCAATCAAAAACGAGATGGGCTAATAATAGTCTTCGTTTCTAGGAAAAACGCTCCCTAAAATTCTGAAAACCAGTTAAATAAACATCCTTTCGTACGACCTGAAATTCTTGCTTCATCCCAGTTGTTTAAAAATGGATGTTCCAACTCTAATGCACAACCTAAGGGAAGAGGTAACCTGTTCTGTTTGTATACACTTGTTTAAGGAACCAAAGCAGCTGCCATGTTTACACATTTTCTGTCTTGAATGTCTGAACGGCTTGGCAAGGACGAATGCTCGCCAAGGCAAGATTAAATGTCCTATCTGCCAGATTGAAGTCGCTGTACCCGATTGTGGCACAATGGAAACTCTACCCGACTGTTTCTACTTGAAAAATCTGCTGGATATTCTGGCCATCAAAGAGTGCAACACATCAAAGGTGACATGTGGAAACTGCGACAAGAAAAGCAACGAAGCATCTTATTGTTTTCATTGTAGTAAGTTCTGGTGCAAGGAATGTTTGATCGGACATAACATTTTAAAGGAACACAAAGAGCATCGTGTGCTATCCCTCAAAGATTTTCAAGATGAGGACTTTGAAGATGTCATTAGACGACCAGCATTTTGTTCCAAAGATTTCCACGAGAGAAAAGTGCTGAAGTTTTATTGTAAAGTTTGCCAAGTTCCCGTTTGCAAAAATTGTTTGGCTTTGGAACACTGCAAACATGATGTGGAGCCACTGGAAAAAGTTTTAACTTCTTTTAAGAACAGTATTACGTCCAAGCTTGAAGATGCTCAGAAATTATCCGATACAATTGCAAAACTCGTTCGTGAACGTGAGGAACAGAGTCATCTTCTCGAAATTCACTCCCAAATTATCAAACTACAGGTACAAGAAACGGTCAAAAATCTTATCCAGACTCTGCAAGAACAAGAGCGAGGATTAGTAACCGACGTAGAAAATCAAACTAAGGAAGCACAAGAAAAACTAATGAAAGAAAAAGGAGAACTTCAAGATCATATTATATATATATATT